TTCTGTGTATACTGTTTAGACATTTAATAATTTAAAGTGTATTACGGCATGTTAAATATTAAAAGGTAGGTATATTTTATAAAAGCAAGATTGCTCAATTGGACAAATGTACACAACCCATCGGAGAATCACTTTTGGTCTGTTTCTTACATAGCCGAATATATAAAAATAGTTCACTATTATACTGTATCTCCATCACTGGCCTTTGCCTCTCCTCTGTGCCTCTAAGCTTTTAAGCTACTCATAGACTTAAGATTTAATGTAAAGGTATTTCTGAGGGGGATACACGATTTTAAGGCTGTGCACTCCTCTCACAGCTGAGCCTAAAATGATTCGCTACTTGCCCTTTCATTTAAAAAGGCTTGTTCACATATCTAAAAGTCCATGTTTTGGCAATGAAGCTACAGTGTACTGCTCTATCATTCAGCTTCAGGCACACAGGAGCCTATCCTGGCAAGCACAGGTGCAAAGTAGGGTACACCCTAGATGGGATGCCAGTCAATCACAGGGCACATACACACACAAAGAGCCAATTTTCCTAGAAGCCAATTAACCCACCAGCATGTCTTTGCACAGTGGGAGCAAACCGGAGCACCTGAAGGAAAACCATGCTAAAATGAGAACTTACAAACTCCATGTACACCACAGGTATGAAGATGATCCCAGGGCCCCAGTATGGCAAGGCAACAATGCAATTGTGCCACCTTAACTGGATCTTGCAAAGGAACAAGGGTTTATTCAGGTGGGTAGCTGTGTCAGTCGGCAAAGGAACAAGTAATAGGTTTATTCCATGCTGAAAGGAGAAGAAAAAAAATACAATGTTCCGGCTGTGGAGCCTTCTTCAGGTGTCAATGTGTTTCTTTTCTTCTCTTCCAGCAGTGAATAAATACTAAAAGTAATCTTTTGGGGTAACAAGTAAGTGCCTTCTTCTCCATAGCCGAAACCTTGTTTTCTTTCTTCACTTTTCAGCATGGAATAAACTTTTACTTGTTCCTTTGCAGCCTACGCATGGTGACGCAGCTACCTACTTGGACTAACTATATCTTGTTTATTTTAAATAAATGTATAAATATTTCTTTCTCCATATAATTTTCTCAATTAAATAGTAAACCATTATAGCTAAACAGCCATTGATTTATCTTCTGCCCTGGAGCAGTTGAGGATTCATAACAACTGAAAGGCAGTAGCTGACAAAGAAGTGTGCTTTGTAACCTATGCTTGCTGACACAGTTCTATTCAAGAACATCTTCAAAGTCTGCAACCAACATAACTGCCATTCCGTCTGGAGTCCATTTCTGAAAATTCTGTGAGTTATACTTTTAATGTATATGTTTATTGCGTGCCATGGCATATTTACAAAATACTGTCATGAATTGTAATTTCATAAACTATAAAATATAATGTACTGTCAATCCACAAGTTTATTGTAGATAGATTTATTTGTTCAAAATCAATCGTAAGTAAATGTACACAATTAAAATTGTTATTTGTAACCTGAAAAAGCTGATCGACATTTTTGAGATTGTAAGAAATTGTATCATTTGAAAAAAAACATAAAACATAAAACAGTGATATGGGCAGGGTTAAAGATATGGTCAGCAGCAGTGAATTTAGAACATTGCAAGAAACTAAAGAAAGTGAGAGGAAATGTGTTATGGAACAAGTAAAGGTTTATTCCATGCTGAAAAGAGAAGAAAGGAAACACAACGTTTCGGCTGTGAAGCCTTCTTCGGGTGTAAGCAAGGCTCCATAGCCAAAATGTTGTGTTTCTTTTATTCTCTTTTTGCAGCTACCCATTGAACATGTGTTTTGTGGACCTTTGCAAAAGCTGTAGAAGTGATAAAGCAGCCAATGGATTTATTGTAGGCTTCCTCCTGTAAAGATAACAATGCATCATTCAGTCTTGCTGAAGGTGCAAGATTAGGCAATGGAAAAGAAACAATGGATGACCAAGGAAGACTGGAGGTAGGGCAGCTGGAGACAGAGCGGAAGGCAGCTTAGAGATTCAAAAAATGCAGAGCCATCAAAACAAACAGATAAGATAAGCAACTCATAAGATATACCCACATATGGAAGCAAGCGGAACTTCTTAGTGACAGAAGATGCAGCAGAGGGGTGAAGCAGGTGTCAAAAAGCTTTGTGCTGGTTCAGCAAATGAAACAAAATGGACTGTTTAAGCATAGGTTTAAGAGCAGTAGCGAGGACTATTCCCAAGAACTGCTTTGTTCTGCTGTTTTAAACAATTTAGAGCGACTGAAAAATGCATTGCGAAGAGTAGAGATCGATAAAATGATCCTTAGTTGAGTAAGGCAGAATGGAGGGGGGCTGTCACACTAATCACTAAGGACTCGTGGAAGAGGTGATCGGACCCTATGCATTCCGGGAGAATAGATATCCAGGAATCCAAAGGGTGAGAGACAGAATACGAGGTCGGGTGGCCAAGCTAGGTTGGGTTCCAGTAGTCAGATCAGTATGGTATCCAAATCCAAAATCCACTTGAAAGAGAGACGAAGGTGGAGCCGGGGACAGAGCAAGGTCAGTAAGACAGTAGTCGAGTCAGTAAGGTATCCACATCCGAAATCCGCTAGACAGAGACGAAGACGTAGCCGAAGAGTAAACAGAGTCGATATCCAGAAGTCAGTTAGTAAGAACGCGCATAAGAGAAGGGCTAAGACAATCTCAACAGTGAGTGAGGACTGAGAGGAGTGAGCGGGTTTAAATAGAAAAAAGGGCGAGTGCAGTGCAAATTGCTAATTAGGGCGCAGGTGTTGACGCCGGGAGGTGCGGTTCGTGACAGGGGGATCCATTGGCTGAGTGGGCTTCTATGAAATGAGAGAAGTGCTTTAGAGATTTGAATTTTTAGAAGTGTGACTAGAAGGCAACTTTTTTAGAAGTGTGAGTTTACACCACGTTGGCTGACTTGGGGAAAGACATATAACACTATTAAAGTCAAAGAGAAAAAACATTGATTTGGATAACTGTTATGATATTTTACATAGAATGCACTGAGCCTCAGTACCCTGATTTTACATACCACAGTGATTTCTCATGTGTTGGAAATGGGCATTACTTTCACTCTGTACTGTAAAGAGACCGCTATTTTTATATTTCTGGGTTAGAAAGAAGCGACATTGATGAGTGCATGTCAAAGCACAATGAAAGTAAGATGTACATAGTAATGTGTAAAACCTCCAATTTCCATCACAAAATAAATTACATTTTCCAGGTCTCTGCAGTGCCATGTTCTGAGATTTAGACATCAGCAACAAAACTTCTGGTGACATGAAATGGCCCTACTAAATTGTAAACAAGCAGGCTTCTGAATACATCTCTTTTTAATTGAATGGAAATATTATTGTCGACTTCATGACAGATTTCCCAACAAACAGAACTTACTTGTTAACTCTGCATGCAGATCGTGTTGGAACATTTCTGTGGTGAAATGTCTGCTCCAAAACCTGTACTTATTTGCTCGTACATCACATTACATTAGTCATTACAGTGACTATTGAGCAGGAAGGGTTAGTTTAACTCTCACTCTCGCCCATGGTGAGGCCAAGAATTTGCGAAAATGTGGCGACTTACAGTGCTTTCTAAAACTTAATTATTTTGTGCTTAATTCAGAATTTGTAAAAATTTCCTATGCTGTCAATTAATGTATTTTCTTACCAAGATGCAATAACCATTCTGAGATTTTGGGACTGCATTTCCCCTTTAAATGTTCTAAGACTTATTGATGCGTTTTGTATATGCAGTATGTGTCACAATATCGGCCTCCTGCAGCCAGAGACATACCTTCACCTCAGCCAATCCTAGAAGGTGTAAACCCTAGGGACAGTTACCCAATTAGCCTTGCCAGTTACCACCCCCCCCCCCCAGAGCTAGGATACTTCAGGGCAGCCCACAGAGGCATAAGTGCTCAGTATTGGGTTTTCCCTGGCAAGCTGCATTCTCTGCTTAGCATTTACATTCTTTCTGTGTATGAATTCCCGGTTACTTGACCACGGCTTCATCCGTTTTGTTACTTTCTTGGCTTATGGACTTTCGGATTGCCTTCTATCCTAGATTTTTGGATCTTGTATGGAATATTGTATGACTTGTCTCTCCACTGGATTTTGACCTTATTTGCTAGACCCTAGACCTTGAGTTTGGATTTCGTTATTGATCGGCTTCCTAGTAATCTTGTCGCCCGCATAGGGTCCACTACTTTTGTTAACCACAGCTTGCTACCGTAATAGTCTGTTTATGCCACTTATGACATTTACTTTGTTCACGCTGTTGTTATGAGCAGATTAAAGTCAATTTTCCTGAGAAAAAGTATTGGGGAAACATCCAATATTCTTAAATTTTGTTGACAATACATCACTCTACAGATGCAGCCATTCAAAGTTCGCGGTACAAACCCATACCGCACGCAACTACGCGTGAGCCACCGCGCTGTACCGCGGTACGTGATTGACTGGCCAAGGTGACCGACAGGGGCACTCGTGGTGCATTGGTCGGTAGTGAAAAGATTTAATCATTTAATCTCTTTACTGTGCACATTTTAATACGCTTAGTATTGAATATTTATATGAAATTTTACCACTAAAGGGATTTTTAGTAACTGAACATAAAAAAAGAGGAGCATAACGCATCTGAAGGTCATAAACGATATTAATTTAGGAACATAAACATATTATGTAAACTGTATATTGCTGGTATTGATATTTTAAAGAAAAAATACACACTAGTATTCCATTTCTCCCTAAACATTTTAAGCATCAAAGTCTTACATTTGTCTAAGCAATGTTCCTTAATAATAGATGATACCAACTTCAGACATTACTTCTGCTGCTTGCTGGAGTAGGACTGAAACACAGTTTCACTGTGAAAACACAGTTTCATGAGTCTCATGCGGAAACTGTTGATCTCTCTTCTTGAGCTCAGAACAAGAGCATTTATTTGCTGGCATGACGGGGAGATCTTTTTTAAATTGTTTTCTGTTTCTCTTCTTGCAGGTGGAACAATTGACATCACAGTGCATGAAGTGCAGGAAAATTGTTCCTTGAAAGAACTCCTGAGAGCTTCTGGAGGAGGTTGGGGAGGCACATCTGTAGACAAGGAATTCAAAGCCTTTTTGAGAGAGACATTTAACCTTGGAGTGTGGGACAGATATGAGAGAGAGCACCCTGGAGAATTACACAAGATGATGTACAACTTTTCCACACAAAAATGCATGACAGTAGAGGAGGATCTATACATAACTTGCTACTCCAATTTAGTTAGATGTGCACAGCAGAAGAAAGAGATCTCTAAGTTTTTTAAGGATGTGCAAGAAGTATCTTGGTCAGATGGGTGTATCAGAATTTCATATAATAGACTGAGGAACTTCTTTAAGGGTAGTGTTATGAAGATAGTGAATGAAGTAGAGGCTATCCTGTCCATGCCGGAGATAAATGTGGATTATATTCTGCTTGTTGGTGGGTTTGCATCCAGCAAGATATTAAGAGAGGAAATCAGAAAGCAGTTCAGCCACAGGTGCAGAGTGATGTGCCCCTACGACTCCCAGCTGGCCATTGCAAAGGGTGCCATTCTGTTTGGAAATGACCCTAAAATCATTGCGTGCCGAGTCAGTGCTCTGACCTATGGTATTGCAGTAGCTGAAGAATTTGATTCTGAAATCCATGACTCGGAAAAGTTCAGAGAAAATAAAACTAAAGATTATTTCTATTGCGCTGATGTTTTTGAAAAACTTGTGGAAAAGGGACAGTCTGTGGGTTGCAATGACGTTTCAGAATATTTCTTCTCACCCATAGATGATGACCAGTTGGCCATGAAATTTCAGTTTTACTGCACAGAGAAGTTAACTTCCATGTATGTAGATGAAGCAGGGATGACGAAAATTGGCTCCTTCACTGTGCCAATGCCAGATCCAAGTCTGGGAAGGAAACGGAGAGTTAGACTGGATCTTAAATTTGGTTTGACAGAAATACAGGCCACAGCAACTGACCTGTCATCCAATGAGACACAAGCTATCAGGCTGGATTTTTTGACTGAATGATTTAACTATATTGTTTCATCCTGATTTATTGCACAATATTTAAATTCCAGCATCGGGGGACAATTGAAGGTAATAATATATGAAAAATCTGTAATTTCTCTTTTGTGTTTGAACTGTTGGTTTGCTTTATTTCTGTCAGTCCCTTTCAGCAGTTGGTGTAACAATTTATTAAAATCTTATGAACAGAACTAACCGACTTTACTGCTAATTTATACTAAACAAATAATTGAATTGAATTGTTAATAAGGGCACAAGTTCAAAAACCACTTTTAGATCTTGTTTAATCCATCATAACAAATTAAAATCTATATTTTTCATTTGCAACTTGAAAGACTGTAAGTCTTAAATTAACATTTGGAAAAGATGTCACCTGTATTTTTAAATGATATAAAAATGAATAATGAAAAGGGCAGGAGCTTTGAGTCCAAGGTCTTCTGGGAAACATGAAAACAGCTATGCATTTAGAGGCCCTGGACCACTCACATGCAAAACAATGAGTTAGTTGAACGGGTGAGTCTCACACAGTCTAGCCAGACCATTATCCTTCTATTTTCATAACAATGAGGTGGTGTAGAACTGAATGGCAGCACTTCTCCAGGGCCACTACCAAATCCATCCAGACCTTACTCTTGCGAGCAATGAAGGAGAAACACCTGAGAAAACCAAGACGGACCCTGCTATTCCATGGCGATTTGCTCCTTTTGTTAGATTATGGCTACCACATAAGAAGACTACTTGACAAGTAAACACTACTTGTATCCAGACTACTTGGTGAAGACATTTGAAAATCAGGAGGGATTTGGCAAATTCCCACTTACATTTCCTTAGTAACCGCAGGTTACACCTTCTCCTCTGAGGGATTTTAAACAGTGGGTGAAGAAGCTTCCACACCAGAATCTCTATTTTTTGGAAATTAAAGTTACATTCTCTGCACATTTTCAAGAATTTAAAATAACCTGACCCTACAATATTGAAAACCATAACTGAAACCAGAAAACTGAGATAAGGTAGCAAATGGATTCTCCTATGAAACTATCAATGGTGTGTCTTTGTCCACATTTGTTTTTTTGGTTAGAAATAATTGACTCTACACCGAAAGAAATTTAATCTGACATTATATGATCATATAAATATCCTTCACATACTTCAATGCACATTACATTGCTATTAGAGTCTCCCAAACTGAATTTAGAAGTGTCCAGGGGTGCAGCATCATGTTTGTGGATCAAAAGATTGCAGAGTGCTAGAAAGGATGTTCAGGCAGTGAGCTTTAGTGGCAGTGAGCCAGTGATCTGAAGGCCGTCCTAAATAGAAAAAAGAGGGCTTTTCGGGCAGGTGACGAGGAGCTGAGGCAAGTGCAGAAAGAGCTGAAGGTGAGAGTTAGGGAGAGCAAGGTGGCTTATGGGAGGAAAATGGAGGATAGGCTGATGGAGAGCAATGTGAGAGAAGTGTGGAATGGCATGAGGAAGATCTCCGGATACAAGCTGTCTGGCTGCCAACAGAGTGAGGGAGGCCTGGAGAGGGCCAATGAGCTGAATCTTTTCTTTAACAGATTCGATACAGGGTCTAATGTCCATTCACCTCACAGGCCTTCACCCCAGACACCCTCTTCATGTCCTTAGTCACCCCATCATGTGATCCCTCCTACTCCTACTCCATCTTCCCCTGCCCTCCT